TAGTTGTTATAAATAGATATTTTATATATATATATATATATAACAATGAAAATAAATATTGTTTTTTTTATTGTTTTTTTAATACAAAAATACTTTAAACAGTATATTTTATTTGCAATTTTACTGAATTATATATAAAATACAAATAAAATTTATATATATTTATAAATATATTGAATTTAATATCAATAGAAGTAAAAATTTATTTTTATTATTATTTAATTAGCAAACAATTGAATAAAATAAATCTTAATTTATTTTAAGTACTTTATTTTCTAACTGCAATAAAATATAATATATTTCACATAATATTAAATATAATAATATCAAATATTATTATCAAATATATATATATTGTATTATACAGTATTTTTATATATATAATAAAACAAATTATGGTGTCCAAACATAAAATAWATATAGTTTTTATTATTATTATTATTATTTTTTATATATAATAAAAATAATTTCATAAAATCAGATATTATTTTTGTTAAAATTATTAACAAAAATAAAATTATTGGTATTAGTATAATAGGAAAATAATAATAAAATTTAGTAGCATAGCTAAAAATTACTATTATTACTATTATTTTTATTATTTGTAAAAAATATATAATAATAAAATTGTCTAGCTAAAATTATTGTAGATTATGGTCATTATATTCAATACTATTGTATATACAGTATATATAAATAATATATTTATTATATATTATATTAAATGTCATATAACTTAATCGATTTAACAATTTATATATATATATAAGTAATTTTTTGTTTGCTTATCATTTATACAGTAAATTCATACATTTTATTCAATATATTATTATTATTATTTTGTAAGCAATTACTGTACTGTATGTGTGTTACCTAATGGATATTGCAATTGATTTTTTATTTAGTTTAGTTTATTTATTTCCAGCTAATACACTATGATTTTATCTCAAACAACAACAAAAAAAATAAATAAAATAAAAATAACAATAAAAACAACATTCAAATACCGTACTTACAATATATATATATATATACAACAAAAAATAAATTCAATATACAGTTACTGTAATGTATAAATGATATTTACTGTATATTTTTCTACTGTTATTCAGACCCTTGATTGCTGACTATCATTAAATAAAATGTAATTTTTTTTAGTTTTTTTATTTTTATTTTGTTTGTATAAATTCAAATGTATTTACAAAACAACAACAGTAGTAGATATATATATAKATGCTATATATATATATATATATATAAATTAGAAAAATAATTTTTTTAAGTTAGCGTTAAAAACTTTTAGATAAAAATCCTAAAATAAAAAAAACACAAAATATTATTAAATTATGCATTAAGTGTATCATCTAATCTATAATGTAGTTAGGATTTTTTGGCAAAAAAAATTCCCTCCCATTTATTTTATTTCCAAAAAAAGTTCCCAAATTTTACCTGCTCACTGGAAAGTACCCCAGGGAATTTATTATTTTCTATTCTACCAATTATTAAACACTACACAACACATTTTATTATAATATTTGTTTTTTTATTTAAAATAAACAAATATTAAAGTAAARTGTATCTTAAATAATTAGTATCATTAAATTTATTGAATTTGAATTTTAGAAAAAAATATTTTAATATTTTTTTCCGTCCTAACAATTAAAGTTTTAGTACTATTTATTGTAATAATAAATAAAATATTTTTTTTCATTTTCTAACAATAAAGGGAAGGAATAAATATATTTTCTATATTTTCCATATTTTCTTACGGGAACTTTCCTCCAATGGGAAAATTGTTTAAACTCTAAACGCAGTTAAGTATTAATATATATACAATATATATATATATATATATATTAATACTTATATATATATATATATATATATATATATATATATATATATACAGTAAACTACATTATTAGTAAATTATCCTATTTTTTGTTTAGTAAATATATTGATATATATATATTTAAAAAAAATAAAATATTTAAATTAGCTAGTCTAGTTTTTATTTCTCAAAAAATGTGACATTATTATTATTACATTATTATCATATTACACAAAAAAAATGTAAATAAAATTCAATTTTTATTCAAATTTTTTTTATTCAAATAATAAAAGTGTTTATGAAAATAATTTTTGTTGCTATTGTTGTTGTTGTTGTTATATTTAAATATATTTTTTACTTAAAAACAAAAAATGATTTCTAACTATATTTTGCATACAAAAATAATAAATAATAATCATAAAAATATTATTATTATTTATTATTAGCAAGTCACATTCAATTTTTTTTGTAACAAAAAAATTTAACTAATATAAAAAATATGATTTATAATACAGTATATATATACTGTATATAACAACATTATTTATATCAATATAACATTTATTTTATATATATATTATACTTCAGGTAAAATATTATTTGATATACACTGTATAATATAATGTATAAAATATTTAGTTATCATATTTTATATATATATATTTTTACTTTTTGAGATAAATATATCAATATTTTTTTGCGAAAAATATATATACATTTAAAGTAATTTCCATGTTATATATTTATACAGTATATTTTACTATCATATACTAGAGTTTAATAAACATTCCCAGTGAGGGAAGATTCCTAGAAAAAATCCTTATAATTTTTCCAGGAAAATATAAAAAATATTTTATTTTTGATCATTAGAAATTGAAAAAATATTTTATATTATTATTATTATTACGTTAAAATAGTAGCAAAACTAAAAAAATGCAATACAAAAAAAAATGTGAAAAATATTTTACTAAAAATTTAATTTAGCTAGACAACTTTCAACAAAAATAATATTATAAAAAATATATAATAAAATGTGTTATTCAATGGGTTGATAAATAGTAGCATATTTAAAAAGAGATTTCCTGGGTATTTTCCTATTGGGAAAATAAGGGAACTTTTGAATAAAATAAAACAATTGGATGAAAAAATATGATCTAAACCTAACTATGATATATAGTATTTCTATGATAGTATATATATATATATAATATATTAATCTTTTCTAAAGGCTATACTAAATAGAAATAAGTAATAATAATAAAAAAATATTTTATCAAACATTTATCACTCAGAAAAAAATATATAAAAGTATTAAATAATAATAATATAATAAAAATATTAGAGAGAGAAAAGTTTTCTACAAAAAAAATTGTTTCTCAATAAATATATCAATAATAATAATATTAATATTAATAATTATAAATATGTTATTTTGTTGAGTCTGTAAAAATAAAATAAAAATAAACTTCAGGATATCATCATTGAATAATTTAATGATAAAAATAATAAAATAATAATAATAATAACAAAAAATTGATATCAATTTTTCAATTTGTGTTGTCATCTCATGTGTATTTCTAAACTGTATTATAAATTAATTTTATTATTATAAATATTATAATATCAATGTTATTGTGTGTGTGTGTGTGTAAAAAATTATATACAGTATAATTGATTACAAATTAAATTAACAAATTTATAACTTTATTATTATTACTATTATTAGTAAATTAAACTAATTATTGGGATATGTTTGTATTGGGAGACCCCCTCCCCCCTCACACACACACACACACACATACATACATACACACATACATATATACATAAATACACACACATATATATACACATACACACACACATATATATATATATATATACACAATAATACACCAAAAATAATGTACAAAATAATTGCAATAATAATAATAATATAATAATAAAAAATATAATAAATCATTGATCTTAGAGATGTTGAGCTGCGCTCTCTCTCTCTCTCTCTCTCTCTCTCTCTCTCTGTTAAAACTCGGTAGACATTGTAGACATCAGAAACTGTAGGCACCGGTAGTTTGCTGTATGTATGTATGTGTGGTGTCGGCGCAAAAGTTGCCAACAAAATTCAATGACCACTTAGTATACAACACATACATACTGTAGACATACATATACATTGATAGAGAGAGAGAGAGAGAGAGAGAAAGTGCTCATAATATTATACAACTACACCACTTCAATGATAATAAAATAATAATAATAATAATAATAATATTAGATATATATTATACTATAATATCATATATGAGTAATTGTTTTAAAAACAAAATAATTAATTAAATAATTTTTTTATTCATCTCTAATAACAATTCATAACAATTATTCTTATATATAGTTTTTTTTTGTTAAATTATTTAATAGAAAAATAAATAAATATATTTTTAATAAAAAAAATAATTTATTTGTTATAACAAATTGTTTTTGTTTTGTGTGACCATAAAAGTTGTTTAGTATATCAACAACAAAAAAATAAGATAAAAATTTTATTAATTAATAATAATAATAATAATAAAATTAAAAAAAATAATAATTTTAACTATAAATTATTTATTATATTAAAGTTGACAACTAATTATTTGTTTGTTTGTTTTTTGTGGTTAATCTATTAATTAATCTATTAATTAATTTATGTGTTATATATATATAAATGTGTTTTTTAAATATATTAACAATTTTTACGCTAAAAATATAAATTGTTAAAAATGTTATCACAAAAAATATAAGATTATAGAATTTTATTAAAATAAAAATCGATTTATATTTTTTTTTTAGAAAAAAATTATATTTATTAACCAATTGAAATTAATAATCATAATAATTTTGAAAAAAATAATTATTTATACAGTATATAACTGATTAAAAAAATAAATAAATAAAATATCTAAAAAAAATTGTTTTTGAAATATATATACTGTAATAAATTTGTTATTGAAAAATATTTTCATAATTTTAAGATTTTATTGGGTTTCTCTTTTTTAAAAAATTATATGAGAAAACCTACTAAATCTAAAAAAAAATCAAATATTTTTTTTATAGATAATTTTTTGTTGTTGAAATAATATTAATAATTATTGTGTGAAAAATTAAAATAAATTTAATGAAATTCAGTAATAAAAATATGGTTTTAATGAAAAGTTGTTGTTGTTTTAAAACCATAAGGAACGGTAGTTTTGCCAGTGCTATATACACTATGGTATGTATACATATATATATATACATATATATATATATATTTAATTAATTTTATAATTATATTAATTATAATTAACAAAACTAAACCCCAATTGTTATATATATAATATAGTATTATAATTAGAAAATAATTTAAATATAAAATGTTTTAAAAATAAATAAAATATTGATAAATTTTAGCATTAAAATAAATAAATAAATATATAATAATTTATTATTAAATTTATTATTAATCATTGTAATATTCATATTATATAGTTATAAATTATATTCAAAAAAATAATTTATAAATATTACTAAAAAATGTCTGATAATTATAGTAGAAAAAAATATTTAGAAAAATTTTTTTAAAATATTAATAAATTTATATATATTTAAATATTGTTTAAAAATATATTATATATCATTGATATCAACCATTATTATAATCATTACAACAATGTATAGCATTATATAATTTATATAAAAATATTTGTTTCAATAAATAGTTAGATAAAACAAAATTTATTATATTTTTTTAGCAGAAAAAAATCTTATTGATATTAGATTTGATGGCCAAAAATATTAATAATAATAATAATAAAACTATATATATATATATTTATAAACAATATAACTATAAGTAATCTCTATTGAAACTAAATAAATAAGTAAACCATAGAAAACAAATAGAAACAATAAAAATATTAAATTACATTTAGTTTAATATATATTTATATATAATATACAGGTATATAAATATTGATTAAATATATTACTATATATATTGTATTATAATATATATCTATATTAATATATAAATATATAATTTAGTTTCCATATAATTTTGACTTATAAATATATTTGATATCAATAATATATATATATATGTTATTTAATATAAATATATAAAGTAAACATATACATACAGTACATGTATAACAATAATAATCAACAAAAATATGTAATATTTATTATATTATAATAATATGTAGTATTTATTATATATTACAATTTCAATATCATTATCAGTATTATTATTATTATTATTATTATTATTATTATTATTATWTATTATTATTAATTTACATGTATTATAATATTTTTTATAACATTATRTATATAGTAGATAAATTTATATTGCTTTTTATTTTTTAAATTTATACACAATTTATAATATAATATATTTTAATAGACATTATTAAAACTATTATATAGACTATTAAAAAATATGTTTTTATCTAATTATTGTATTATTATAATTATTATTATACAGTGTATTAAAACATAAAAATAATAACATTTTCTTTAATTACATTTGTATGTAAATTATTTTTTTTTTTATTTTCATTATTAATTAATTATAATACTGTATAATATAAAATAAAACAAAACAACAAAAAAATCATTGTATTGTACATAACACTAGTTTAACACTTACTACTGTATTATAATAATTAGTTTATAAGTACAATATATATATATAACAAATTTTTTTATTTAGTTTAATATAAGTGAGAGATAACAACACCAAAAAGTAATAATAATAATAATAATAATACTGTAATTATCTGTAAGTTTAGTATATAATTAAAAACCCTTATAAATAAAAAATAAAACAAAACATAATAATTACAACCATAATGTATACCAGTAGACACACAATAGGTTTTATTAATTAATAACTACAATATATATATATATATATAATTTAGTACTCATATTATTATTATTATTAAACTTAATTATTCTTGTTAAATTAAAATATTTATATATATATATTTATTTAATACTAATTATATGCACATACAAGTCCTGTATTTAAATTATAGTGTGTGTATATGTGTGTGTATGTGTGTGTGTGTGTGTGTATGTGTGTGTGTGTGTATGTGTGTATGTGTGTGTATGTGTGTGTGTATGTGTGTGTGTGTGTATGTGTGTGTATGTGTGTGTGTATGTGTATGTGTGTGTGTATGTGTGTRTGTGTGTGTTGTGTATGTGTGTGTGTATGTTTGTGTATGTRTGTGTATGTGTGTGTATGTGTGTGTGAGTGTTTGTGAGTGTGTGTGTGTGTTATATATTATATATATATATATATATGTTAATATAATTGGATGAGTGGGTGAGTGATTGTAATTGTGATTGTGTGTGTGTAAGTGTAGGTATAAACTTAATTAAGAGCAATGCAATAAATAAACATAATTAGACTAATAATAATACAGTAATAATAATAATAATAACACAAATACTGTTAAAATACAATAAATAATAATTAATTAATTTCTCAAAATAAAAATTAATTTTTCAGATTTTGTATGTAATAGTGATGACTGCCTGTACTTTTCATATGCACGCTGTCTATGAAGATATTGGTAATTATGTTTAAAGTGTTTTTTTATTATTAATAAAAATTTTATTATTATTATTATTAAATATCAAAAAATACTAAATATAATTATTATATAATATAATTCAAATAATACTAATATTAGATACACTCACACATACATAGTATATATTTAAAAAAAATATTTTACACTTAAAAAACACTTACAAATTTTTTTAAATATATTTTTCAGACATAATTACATATTCAATATAAATGTATATTCAAAATGCTTTTATATTATTAAATTAAATTAAATTAATGCATTTTATGACAAATAGAGTTAAAAATATAATTTTTTTTAATAATAAAAATTTTATTATACATTTAGTATAATTTAGTTAAACTTGAAAATACTTTAGCTAAAAATTTTTATTTTATTTTTTCTAGTTTTATTTCCTTGAAAGCATTTTATTTATAGATGAGTACAGTACTATTGTATAATTTATTTTTATTTAAAAATATAATAATAATTTAGCCGACACTTTATATATATGCTAATTAAATGTATAACTTAGCAAACATTTAGAGAGAGAGAGAGAGAGAGAGAGAGAGAGAGAGAGAWAGAAAGAGAGAAAGAAAGAGAGAAAGAAAGAGAGAAAGATAGAGAGTTATATAAATTTCATATATATATATATATAATTATCATAAAAATATGTCTAATATGATTAATAAACTTTTTAATGTACATTTTAATATATATAAATTTTTTATGTATATATACATTAAATAAAATTATATATATATATATATATATATATACAGTATATATAAGTTAATATATATAAAATCTACTATTGTTTTCAGTCAAAAAATCTAATAAAATTTAATTAAAAATACATTATAAATCATAAATTATATTCAAAAAGTTAGTCATATGTAAATAATAATTTCAAAATAATAATAATAATAATAATTCAAAAGCTAGCAAATTATAACAATGCTGCTAATTATTATGCAATTTATTGATTTATATTATTAATAATATATATATATTATAAATACTGTAATTATTATATTAATTAAGTTTTTGATGACATCATAACTCATGTTTTAAAATATATAAATTTTTGAACAATAAATATATATATAATAAATAATATAATTAAATATTTCAAATATATAATAAATTAGTAGTACATTAATTATAATTTTATATTAGTTTTAAAAAAAAATTTAAAAATAAAATAATAATAAATTTATTGTAAAGTACTTTTTTAGTTTTTATTTTGACTAAATAGTCAAACATATGAAAAATAAAAATATATAAAATTTATTTACTTAAAACAGTATACTGTAGATATAAATTACTAAATTTTTATATATATATACATCAGTTATATTTATTATTAAAAAAAATTATTTTAATAATATAGCAAAGCAAATACATTAAAGATTATATTATTATTATTTTTTAAAAAATAACTAAAAAAAAGTTAAATATCATTTTACAAAATCAAATTATAAACATAAAAATACACACTTACACACACACACACATAAATACATATATATATATATATATATATACATACACACACACATACATACACACATATATACACACATACATACACATATACATACACATACACACACATACATACGTACACACACATACACACACATACACACACATACACACACATACACACACATACACACACATACACACACATACACACACATACACACACATACACACACATACACACACATACACACACATACACACACATACACACACATACACACACATACACACACATACACACACATACACACACATACACACACATACACACACATACACACACATACACACACATACACACACATACACACACATACACACACATACACACACATACACACACATACACACACATACACAAACATACACATACACAAACATATACATACATACAGACATACATAAATATACACATACATACACATACATACATGCAAACACATACATACATACACACACATATATATATATATAGTATATATATAAAAATATACACATACATACACACAGAGGAATAACTTTCAAAACTTGAATAAATGCATTAACAATGATAATTGAATTGAAAACTAAAAATAATTTGCATAAATCAATGAAAAAAATATAGCATATAATTAACATATTTATTTATTTACAAAAATAAAATTAAATAAAAAAAATCTAAACAATTATTACAACAAACTATTTGTAGAGATGCTGTCGTTTACATTACTAATGATTTGTTTGGCTATTATTATGGTTATCACATCAATACTATTGTTAATCGGTTTGTGTGCCGTAAGTATCGTAATATTAATGTTTATAATATGTTTTAAGTTTGTTTGTAATGTAATGTTGTATTTAAGTTAATTCAATTAGTAAGTAGTAGTAGTAGTAGTAGTAGTGGTAAATATAGTTAGAAAATAAGTTTATATTATTTACTGTATTATATGAATACTTTTTTTATTAAGTAACATAAATAATAGTTATCATTAGATTTTTAAAAAAAACATATTAGAGTACAGTATATATATAAATATAATATATATATAATATACTATATATTATTACTGTTAACAATAATAATAATGCATTTAATTGTATGCTTTTTTGTTGAAACTAATTTAATTAAATAGCAAAATAATAATGATAATAATAAAATGTAAAATTTCCACTTAAATTATCAATAATAATAATAATAACAAAATGTTTACGTTATAAATGCTTTATACAATATATAATAAAGCTTAATTATTATTATTAAAAAATAAAATATTAATTAAAAATTTATGAATATTTTTATTTATTCAAATGAATATTTTATTGAAAATAAAATTTTGAATTTTTATATAAATTATTATTGAATAATAAATCTATTTTTTTATTTTTTCTATTAAAAAGTATTTTTGTTAAAAAAAATTATAATACACTTAAAAAAATATTATTTAGTAATATATAAAATTAGTATAAAATATTATATATATATACAGTATATACTGCATATATACAGTTAGTAATATATTTTATTTTTATTTGTTTAATGTGTTTTTGTAAGATTTCAATTTAGTAATTTATGGCTTTAATAGTTATTAGATAATAATAATAATTATTATTATTATTAATATTATTAGTTAAAAATACTCATCATTATGACGTAAATATAAATTGCTTTATTTAATCTGAATTTAATAACTAATTTTAATTATTATTGTTATTATGTTTTATCATTTTTAGTAATATTAAAAATATATATATTTTTTTTTATTATTATTATTAATTAGCTTTTAATTTAATAAATATAGCTTATAGATAGCGTTTATATTAGATATATATATTTATTTATTTAAAAATAAATTTGTTTGTATAACAAAAATAACTCAATATCTGATATATATATTTTTTTAAACTAAAAATTTTATTGATTTTTCTATAATAACATTAATTTCTAAATAAATTAAATTTGAAAAAAAAATTAAAAACAAAAACAAAAATTATTGTATTTATAATTTAATAAACTTATCATTTGAATAGATAACAAAATAATAACAAATAATAATTGATTAAACAATTTACTATTATTACTATTGTTATTATTGTTATCAAAATTATTATTACTTTTATTATTATGTAAAATATATTGTGATATTCATGTTATAAAATTTACTGTATATTTATAGACTAAAAAATAATGTAATTTAATATCAAATATACAACAACAACAATAAAAATTATGTATTAAACTTACAGTTATATTATATGATATGATATGATAATATTGTGTACTATAATATATAGCATTTTTATATATATACAATAGGGTCCTATAATAAGTACAGTAAGTCTATAATCTAATATTATAGATAATATACACTATATATATATACAGTATATATATATATAGTATATGAATAAATTAGTTATTTATTTGACAATATATTCATTTTGAAAAATAAGAGATAACTTTTTAAATAATAATGAATTATTCATTGTTTTTATTTTTTGGATAAATATAAAAATGTTTTTTATTTTTTATTTTATTTTTTGAATTAACATTATATATATATATACTGTATATTAAATTACATGCAATATTTTGGATGTTAAAAGTAGTTTTTGTTTTTTTTGTTTATTATTGTTGTTTTATTTAACAGACAATAAAAAAAATGAAAAAATTTTCAGAGAAATTATAGCAACAAATAAAATATATATATGTTTTTCACACTAAATCAGAAAAATAGTTTAAATATATATATATATATGATATATCATTGATTTATTTTTTTGAACTCAAAAAATATCATTTTTTGAAAATTTTTGTTTAAAAAAATAATTTTCAGAGAAATTTTTATCTAATAAATTTATTATATATATATATATATATATATATATAAGTAATAAATTTTTTAGTGAGTTTGTAATTTCTAGTGAAACTGATATATAATTTATTAACTAAATATATATATAACCAAAAAAATTTTTATTACTTTCTATACTACAGTAAAACTATCAATATATATATATATATATAAAGTTTTATATAGCTAACCTATACTGTATCATTCTAACTAACCAACAAAAAAAAATCTATTTTTATATATATTCAATATATAGATTAAAAATCATAATCATTACTAGATTTCCTATTTATTTATTAATTAATTGCTAGCTATTAATCATTATACTAAACTAAAACTACAATATTTATAATATATATACAAAATTATATATAATATACAGTATATATATATATATATATATATATATATATTATAACTAGCAATTCAGAAAACATCAATAAAATTCAAGTTTTACTTATTTATTATTATTATTAAGATTATTATAGTAATAGTATAATCAATATATATTATATTTATAAGATTATATATATATATGAATCAATTAATTAAATAACATTTGAATAATACATAATATTAAATATATATATATCTATAAGTATATTGATATCTATATAAAAATTTATATACACACAGTTAATCCAGTAATATATATTAATATATATATATATCAATATTATTTATAAGTTATATAATATTAATATATAACTTATATAAATTATAAGTACCCCTGTTTTATCCATTTACATACTATGTATTATATATATATATATATATATATATATCCATTTATATATTATGTATACTAAGACATCTATAGTTTTTTTTTGCTAATATATATATATATATATATATATATATATATATATATATATTATACAGTATATACAGTAAATAACTACAGTTTATTTTAAATCTATTATAATATACTAGAAAAAAGCTGCTTATATTGATATTAAGACACGTACTGTATATACATATACATATAGTAGTTAATGTGTAATATATGTATTATATATCAATAATAATAATAATAATAATACCTCTATCTGTCTGTATTTTATGCTTACAAAAAGATATATTATTTGAATGACATATTACTAGTAATAATAATAATAATAATATTTGCAAATTATATGCTAATAAAAATGTCAACTTTTTTTTATACTAATGTCTAGTTTATTAGTTTGTTTTATTTTATTATTTTTCAAATTACTTTATATATATAAATACTTAATTTTATAGTATTATGTAAAGTAGTTTTTAAAAAAAAATTTATTATTATTATTTTAAATGTTAAATTTCAAATGTTCAGATTATAACCAGGATTAATTTTATTTTATTTTATTTTTTATTAGACAGTAAATACTAACAACAAAAAAAATAATGTTTAAAATTATAAAAGTTTCAAAATAAAATTTTTTATTTAAGTTAATCTAAAATCAATTATTTTCAATAGTTATAAAAAATAGTATAATTATTATATATTTTTAAAAAATATCTAATAATAAAAATAATAAATAAATTAGAGTAAAATACTATTAAAAAAATATTTTAAATAATTTTTCAGTTTATATAACAATTTTTTTTAAAAAATTTAAAAATAATTTTTTTTAAACATCTACATTGTGTTTACAAATGAGATTTTAAGTTATTAAGGTATTAGTGAAAAAAAAACATAATAATAATAGTAAATAAATATATTTATAAAAAATATATAATAATATAATATGTTTACATTTTATGAATATGGATTTAAATACAACTATAATATATTATTTTATTATAATATAAAACATATATAATTTTATTATATATACATATGTTTTTTTTAATACTGTACTTCAAATAACATATAAAATATTTATTTTTTTTAAGTAAGTCTCTAAAAGATTACTAAAATTGAAGAGAAAAATAATAATAATAAATAAATATAAATAAAATTAAATATAAATAATATCCTAAAACGTCAATATAGACTAATGTCTTTTGAATGATTGTTTTGAAAATAAATATAAATATATAAAAAACTAAACTGTTTTTTCCTATTCAAGTGATTGAAAATAAAACACATTAAACAGTAAAAGTTTGTTTTATTTTATCAAAGGTATAGCATATTTCCCCCTAAAAAAATAGATACCTAACTAAACCTTATTTAGGGGGAGGGAAAACCAAACCGTAATAAATTATCTATAAAAATAATAATGAAAAATTAAAATTATTATTTATTTTTAATTTGTTTGTTTAATATTCAATATTAAACAGAATAATTTTAAAAAAAAAAATTATACATTTATATACATGTATAATAAAGTTATATAAATTTGAAATATTATTATTATTGTTGTTGTTATTTAAATAAATAAAAATAATTTTTTTTGTAAAATTAATAATTATATAAAATAACTGAAAATTATTAGTATTGTTATTAAATTATAAGTTTTAAATTAAAAAAATTATTATTATTACAATAACAAAAACTAGAAATGTTTTTATTTTCGGTTTCGGTTTTTAATTTTTTTATATATAATATACTATTTATATGAACCCAAAATCTGATAGTCAATCTAGACTCTAGTCTAGAAATAAATAAAAAAAACTTTATGTAAACATAAATACACTTTAGATTCTGATAATACATATACTGTATATATATATATATATATAAAATACTATTTAAAAAAAATAAATTCAAAATAAATTATTATATATTTTTTTGACATTAATGTCAATAAATTTTTCTGTTGTGACAAACAATATATATTTGTATACAAATACACTACTGTTATGGGAATTATATTGTTTTATATATATATATATATATACAGTAAATAAGTAAAATAACTTTTATATAAAGTATTTTCTTATTATTTTATTTTTATATTTATAACAAAAACAACAACAATAAAAACAAAACAAAAAAATACATTTATAATGATTAAAAGTAAAACAAAAAAAAAGAAAAGATTTTTCTTAGAAAAATAAGTTCAGAAAAAATTATTTAGTATTACTTAAGAAAAAGACATATTTTAATACATATTTTTTAGAAAAATAATAATAAAAAACTAAATCATAAATAGCTTAATATATTTTTATTATATATTTAAAAATTATTAATACATATATACAGTATATTAAATATATGGAAAAACATCTAAATTTATATCTAATTTTTTTAAAAAAAACATAATAATCATAATCTTAAAAATTTCTAAAATAAAAATCTATATATAAATTTAAAAAAATAAAATCTATTTTCTAAAATTTACTATTAGTTTATCATTTTATTTGTGTGTATATTGTTTTTAACTTTTTTTTTTAAAAAATATATTATAATTTTATTTATTTATTTCTATTTGTACTATATTTAGAAAAATTTTTGCAACAAAAAAAATATGTTTTAATATTGATGATAAATATTTTTTGTTTGTTTGTTATAATAATGACCATGATAATTAATTATTATTATTATTATCTATTAGGATAATGGCCAGCTATACGTGCCCTGGATGGTTAGCATTATATTGACCATTGTATGCGATATATGTCTATCAATATATCTAATATTATATTATGTAAGTGAAAATTATTATTAATAATAATAATAATAATAATATTTTTTATATCAATTATTATTATAGTAAAGAAAATATTTTCTAGACATTCAACAACAACAATATATAATACTTTTATAATCATTTATTATGTGAAACTAAAAAATTATTATTATATAAATCCAAAAAATAAAAGTATCCGGCTATGTTAGACCACAATTTATTATATTTAGTATATATATATATAAACAATTGTATTTTAAAAATTAAAATAATATTATAAAACTGATATATGAAAAGATATTATAGTTAAACAATAAAATAAATAAATAAATTTTATTTTATTATTATTATTATTATAGACTAATTATTTTTTTTGTATTAATTTTTTCTATAACTAAATACTAATATTTATTTTTGTTTGTGTAGACAATGGATCCGTTCAAAGCAGTCATATTTGTTATCGATTTTATCATATGTGGTATTAATGTAAGTGACACTTAGTTTTATACATGATTTGTCAATATAATTATCTGGCCATCTATTACACAGTCACATACATACATACATCCACACACATACACACACACACATACATCCATACACATACATACATACACACATATATACATACACATACACACACATACATACACATACATACATACATACATACATACATACGAACAAACATACATACACACATACACACATACATACACACATACATACACACATGCATACACACATATATACGCACACATACACACACACATACATACAAACATACATACACACATACATACACACATACATACACACATATATACATACACATACACACATTAACCATATAGACAACAGAGAGAAAGTGAGAGAGAGAGAGAGAAATTGTATATAATTTATCGTTAATTTGTTTTGTAATACAATATACAGTATAAATCTGATGATAGGATCAATGACTACAGTATACTAACACTAATACTAATATAAACCCCAAAATAAAAACCCAAACACACACATACAGTATATATATATAGATATATTAATAGATAGACACATAAAAAATAAGTAGACAATATATGATTTATTTAGTATAATTTGATTGAAAACATGATAGTAAACAAACAGGAAAAAAATATATTGATATAAATATATATATATATATTGTATTCAAAATGCTATTATACAATACACTTAATAATATTAATATACATGTATATATTGATATATACAGTATATGTATGAAAAGTTATATTTATTTATTTATTTTATATATCAATAGTCAATATATCTATCAAATATACTTTACTTGTAATATATATATATATATATATATAAATTAAAATTACACAATTAAATACATAACTAATACATATTGATATATGATATAAATTTATCACTACTACTACTACATGTAAATCATATTTGTAGTGATATATTATATTACAAAAAATTATATTTTTTACTAAAATATTTTTTTTCTCTCTCTCTCTCTCTCATTATATCTATAAATGTAATAAATATATGTATTTTTTCTAAATTTATTTTACAGATATTATGTTTTTTCTGTGTTTTATCCTATTATAAGCAATGCAGTCGAGAGATGCTTCACATGAAATACTTGAAACCACATCACGTAAGTCATCATATAATAGATAACATATATAACTATAATATCAAGTATTAATACATTAATATATATATATAATATAATATATATATTTTTTTAAATAACTAATGGGTTTTCAGTTATTTTGTTTTTTTTATAGATTTTTGTTGTTGTTATATATTTTCAATGTATATATACTCATACCGTACAAGTGTATTGAGAAAATAAAATGTATGAATTACTTTATAATGTTTTTAAAAAAAAAAAATATGTAAATCAAATATATAAAATTTATGTACATTTTTTCTAATACTAATATAAAAAATACAGTATAAAGTAATCAAAATACTGTATATTTTTTTCGGTATAAATATCTATTAAATATCAATATTTGTTTGAATGATTTTTTTTTGATTTTTTTTGTTGTTGAATAACAAATATTTATCGACTAATATATATATATATATATATATATATATATACCGTATATTAATATATATATATATAAAAGTTAATAAATGAAAAACAATTTTTTTTAAAAATTTAAATATTAAAAAAAATAATCGATAACTTTTACATTCAAAATCAAAAAAATAAATAAAATAAAATATATCAATATTGCATATATATATATATATTAAAATCTATTATTTAAGCATCCATATAAAATTAAATTAAAAATTTTTAATATTATTATTATTATTAATGTTATTGAAAATATCTAGTTTTTAATATTTATATATATATATATATATTATATTATTTTTTTTTAATAATTTATCAAAAGGTTGGCAATAATTTTGATGATCTGAAAAAATTTGACAAAAAAACCTCCTCCTCCTCATCGGCCAGTCATCGTTCAAATGGCGGCAACAAATCTGGTTATTGTCGTAATAATAATCATAATAATCATAAAAATAAATCTAATATGGATTCAAATCAACCGCTTAAGTATAAAATTATATATTAAATTATTAATAATTATAAATTATTTTATTAATATTACTATTATTATTATTTTATTTTATTTTATTTTATTATTATTATTATTATTATTATTATTATTACTATTATTATTATTATTATTATGAATAAACTAAATATTTTAAAAACCTTTCAAAATAAAAACATTACAATATCTATAATTATTTTTTACATTTCATTGTTAATACTAATAAATAATAATCTAAAAAATTAATAATAACTATATTTAATATTTTAATTAATTAGTAATATAAATTTTAATAATAATAATACTGTATCAGTTAAAAAATAAATAAATTCAATATTTATAAATATATATATATATAAGTAATTGTATCGATATAAAAAATAATTATAATGATATATAAATTAATATATATATATACTGATTAATTTATATATATATATATACTAATAAATTTATATATACTATATATATGAGGAAAGTTTGCTAACTATTTCGCATATATGCCCAAAAACAAACAATTTTTTTTAATTTTAACCAAGGTTAATCAAAAATAAAATAAAATAAAATAATACCTTTCAGTCAATCAACAAATAATTGGTTCAATTAAGTAAACCCGATTAAAACAGTATATATTATATAATCATTATATTATTTTAGGGGGAAATATTTTTTTATATATATATATATAAAGCTATAAACAATAATTGTTTAACTGATCAAAAATTATTGATTTTTTTTGAACATAATGCTTTTTTTGGTTATAAATAATAATATAGTGTACAAAAATTTAATGGTATTATTATATATATTATTTTTTTATATTATAGTAGATTTCACAATAAAATAATATACTGTTAAAATTTTTTTTCTCATTTTTGTCACTTCAATGACAATTCATATAAAATATTTTTTAAATTATATATATAGATATCATATTACCAACAAAAAAAACCACATATTTTTCTATATTATTATTATTTTTTTTATACTAAATATATATTATTATTATTATTACTTATTATTTAAAATTATTATTACTTACTTAAAATTATTATTACTTATTTAAAATTAGTATTACTTATTTAAAATTTTTATCACATATTTAAAATTATTATTACTTATTTAAAATTAGTATTACATATTTAAAATTATTATTACTTATTTAAAATTAGTATTACATATTTAAAATTATTATTACTTATTTTAATAATAATAATAATTATTATTATTATAATTTTTAATAAGTAATAATAATTTTAAATAATAAGTAATAATAACAATAATAATAGCTATTATATTTAATTATAATTATTACCACTACTATTTACTATTTAAAATTACTAATTATTGATTATTTAGTTGTAAAAAAGTAATTATTAATTAAAAATATTTTTTTTAAATTACTAGAAATTTAGTCGAATTGAGTACAATATCTGAAGATAACGAACAAATATCGTCGGAAAAAAACACAACAATCGGTACCAGCGATGATATTAAGCAAATATTTTCGGTTACTTACGATAATATCAATATCATTATCAATGGCGATGAGGAGGATGACGATGACTACGATGACAATGTCGATGATGTCGATGATGATGATGATGACGATGATGACCACCACAACTATATCAATGAAAACCAATTGGAAACCATACCGTTGTCTATAGCCATGAGCGGCGGCGGTGGTGGTGGTGGTGTCGGTGGCGGTGGCGCTGACAATGTTATATGTATTACCGCCGATGCTTCTGACCATCGGCTGCCATCCCAACAGTTAACCAGCGATACCATCACCAATACATCCATTATTATTGCCGACACCACCAATAATATCGGTAAAAATAACAACATGTGTGGTATAGTTGTTATCAACTCTAACCAAACATAACTCAATCAGTGGTCAATTTTAATAGATATTTATTTATTTATCATTTAATTATTTTATATTATATGATAAGTAAAATATATATATTGTTTTTTCAAAGAATATTTCATATATATAAAATATTTCATAATATATTAAATATATTAAATGTTACCAAAAAAATGTTAATTATTTTATGTTATTATTTATTGATATACAGTATTAATTTGTATTGACATGTATTTAGTATTATTTGTTTTTTTAAATGTTTGTTTTTTAAAAATAATAATTGTACAAAAAAATAATAAACAGTGAATTTATTTATATTAAATAAAATCTATGTAATAAAATTTCATCAATTTTATTTTTTGTAGTAAAAAAATGGTTTCACAAAAATTTTAATATATTTAAGTTGAACACAATTTGATGAAAAAAAAATAATTTAAACCCCAATAACCTTTTAACCATTGCTATAATATAGATATATATATATAGTTATATTAATTATAATAAATAAAAATTAATTAATTTTTTAAAAATTATTATCAATTACTTTTCTATAGCATATAAGTTAAGTTTAACTATATATTAATGGGGTGCCTATTAGTACAGTAAATGCCAATTAATAGCCAATTAATAATCATTACCATTGATGTAGGTTTCAAAATTTTTTTTTTAAAAAATTTGTCCTAGGTAAATTTTTCAATGATGACCGTACTATAATTTGAATAATACAGAAATATATTATTTATTAATTATCATAATAATTTTTAGTGTTATTATTATTATTATTAATATAATTAAAATAGTAAAAAAATTTGATAATTAATCTTTTTTTAGATAATATATACATATAGTAATAATATATTTATAAAAATATTTGTTTTTTGTGATATTAAGATATATATACAACAAATTCAGGAAAAAAATAAATTATTTAATTAACTATTAATAACTAACAAACTAATAGCTAACTAAATAAGTTGAATATTTTTTTATTATTATTATTAAAACACTTTTAATTAATATAAAAATTTTTAAGTAAGTAATTAGTAATACATATAAAAAATGAGTCA